CAAAGGTGCAGCAATCTTGGAGAAACCCTTAATGAAATGCCTGTAATATCCTACCAGACCCAAGAAGCTATGAATCTCAGTGACAGGAGTACGCCATTTCCAACTCATCACAGCCTCCACCTTGGCAAAATCTACTGAAAATCCATCTTTAAAGATCACATACCCCAAAAACTGAATCTGCTCCTGCTAAAAGTCACACTTCTTAAACTTAGCATAAAGCTGATGCTCATGTAGAGTCTGAAGTCTAATGCTCAAGTGTCTCTCATTTTCCTCCTTAATCTTAGAATACATCAGAATGTCATCAACAAATACCACAACAAACTGATCCAATTAAGGTCAAAACACTCGGTTCATCAAATCCATAAAAGCTATCAGAGCGTTAGTCAACCTAAAAGGCATGACTAAAAACTCATAGAGGCCATAGCGAGTCCTGAAGGAAGTCTTAAGAATATCCTCCTCCCAAATCCTCAACTGATATTAACTATTTCTCAAGTCAATCTTAGAAAACAACTGCACCCCTCTGAGTTGATCAAACAAATCATCAATGCATGGCAATGGGTACTTGTTCTTAATAGTGACCTTATTCAGCGCACGATAGTTAACACATAAGCGGAGTGACCCATCCTTCTTTTTGACAAATAGAACGGGTGCTCCCCAAGGTGATGTGCTAGGTTGAATAAACCCCCAATCTTGCAACTCTTGAGTCTTCTTCTTCAACTCACTCAATTCAACTAGCGCCATTCTGTAAGGTGCCCCAGAGATAGGTGAAATACCAAGAGTGAGGTCGATGCAAAAATCCACTGCCCTCCTAGGAGGCAAACTAGGAATATCTTGAAACACAACTGCATACTATGACACTGTAGGCAACTGCTCTATAGTCACGTATTGCTCAGCCACCTTAATGTGGGCAAGAAATCCCAGCCCTCGAACTCCCCACATTTATATCGAAAAGATGACTGTCCCGGAATTGAGAATACAATAGTCCTCTCGTGACAGTCCAACTGAGCATGATATCGAGCCAACCAATCCATACCCAGTATAGCATCAAAGTCTCTCATACGTAATGCTATCAAATCAATAGGATACTCCAACTCCCCAATTGTAACAGAACAAACATGACATATTCTATCAAGTGTCGTCGCGCTCCCGAGTGGAGTTGCAATAGATAGGGCATTACTTATATGTCCAGGTTCTAATCCCAGTGTGTCCACAAATGATAATGCAATAAATGAATATGAAGAACCTGAATCAAATAATACTCTAGCTATACTGCTATAAATAGTAAGTGTACCTCCACTGCTATACTGCTACTCATTCTGTTCCAACTGCATGAACTCAGTTGCCTTCTTCTCCCTCCCTGATAGTGGGAAGTATTTGTCGTTGAACCGAGTTTTAAAATCATCCCAGGTCATAGCTGTAATGTCCACAACCATCATGGTCTCTGATTGACACCACTGGAGCGCCTCACCAGATAAAAGAAAAGCACCAATCTTCCTTTTCTGCACCTCAGTGCAGTGCATCATCTCAAAATACTTTTCCATATGTTCAATCCACTTCTCGGCATCAAGTGGATCGGTAGGTCCGACAAATTCAACATCTCCCAATTTGTATATATCTCTGATAAATCCAATTATAGGATTCGGCGCATAAGGTGCATCCTCCAATAAAACATTGTCATGGTCAACACCACCACAACTGGCACCTCCCTAACCTCTGCCTCTAGCAGATCGTCCTCTGCCTCTTCTAGCTCCTTACATCCTATTTCCAATAAAGAATGTCAATGATAAGTCTCACAAGTAACTTATACTTTAAACTGGAGCATGGTAAGAGAGCAAATAATTCGTATAAGCTCCTATTCTTACTATCAATTCATTTAGCCAGGTAATTCTTAACCTGGGCTCAGATACCAAACTGTCACACCCCAAATTTTAACACAATAACTATTTGTTCTGCATATAAAATCTAAAGTATAACTTCCACCCATTCTCAGCATACATCCACCGTAAATAGAATTATGATGAATCCCATCACATAATTTATTAACCGGAGAGTCTAACAAATTTCTACAAATAATGAATAGAGGTAAAATTTCCTCTAACATAATATAAAACATTCATTACCACTAAAACAACTAAACAAGATCTCACAAAACACCAACTTTACTACAATGATCATAATAAAGGAAAACCGAGTAAAAATAAATAAATATGCAACGAGCTAAAATCCGTCCCCGTCATGTGTCTCCATCACGTTCCTACTCTACGAGCAATTGAAATGTGATAATGAGGTGAGCTCACAAGCTCACCAAGAAATGCTAAACACAATCATCGTTCAGCAAGCTAACCTTATCTTGTATTCCCATATATATAAGAAACTCAAAAAAAATGCATTAATTAAATATACATAACCCAGTTAATTACAAACTCCATAAATAATCATCATTTACTTTTAATAAATCCATATATCCCATATGAGCCTCGAGCTCTCATCTAATAAAATGGTATGAATCGTATAGTCCCTGACTACCAAAAACACACATATGGCTGGATTGTATGTCTACTCGCAAGATGATCCCTGATACGTCCACACAATAAGGGCTCTTTAGACCCATGGCCATAATAAAATGGTAGTGCACTCCCAATTAGGTAGGTCCCTGACCATACCCAAAAGTCATCATAGGGTCAGTCCCTGACTACCCTCCGACTAATCCAAACTCATCCATTAATTATTAATTACGGTGAATTATGAAAAATATTATTAATTAATAATTCAAATTAATAATTAAAGCACCAAAATACACATTTAATTCAATAAAAGAACTCTCATGACCCAACTAGTGAGAGTAAAAAATTTCTGGACATAGCCAGCCCTTAGATACATGACCCTGCAAAATTTCAGAATCTAACTCTTTATAGTTTTCATGTACTCTCCCTTTTAGTGCTGAAAAATAATACTTTTTCATGTTAAATTTCGTAAAACTAACAAACAGTCATTTTAAAATCTAGATTTCAGTACAAATAAGATCATTATACCTAAAACTAATATTCTGGAATATAACACAATTTTTGAAATATTTAAAATATTTTTCCTTAATTTTCTAATGTAAAAGTAATAAAGAAATAATAGTTAAATATATTATTTTATTTCAATTGAACCCGGGTGTGGGTTCAACAGACTAAGCTTGGCAAGTGGATTCCAGTGATAATTTTTTATTGTTGAACTGCTGTCCCACGACTACTCACCTTCCCCCACTCTCCTGCACCGAGAGTGACTTTATATATAGGAACTCAAAAATAGATCTCTTTAGACTTTTTACACAACCAGTTCTAAAACTCCCATACAATCTGATAACTACCCAAATTGATACATGTCCATTTGATTATTAAATCCCACTGCTCAACCATGCATGTGAACACACACACACACACGGATAATTCAATTAATATATGTTAATTACATGTATATATGTCTATATATATATATATATATATATATATATATATATATATATACATACTCACATAAACAAACACATACATAACAGTAAGCTAACATTAATAATCATCCTAATAGTTTAGATGGAACCAATATTATATTGGAATAGATAACTTTAAAATCAATTTATATTAATACAGTAACAATATAGCCAATTTTTTTACAGCATTAACCTGATTAATAATTATAATTTATATAACTAAATTTCAGATTAATAATTAAAATTTATGTAACTAAATTTATATTACCTTTAATAATAACTAATTATCTTAATCATGCCTAATTAAAATTCAAAACAACTTACACAACATATACTATTCTAATCCTAATCATCGTTAAGAATATTACTTCTACAATTTATTTAAAACACACCAATTAGATTTTTAAGATTCACTGCAATCAAGTTCTATAATCAAGTTTCAAACATATATAAAAATACAATGCAAGATTAACTTGCCTGGAAATTGCTAAACCTTCCTTTTACGTAATTGCCTGATCACTATCCCCTTTAAAATTTTAACTTTTAAAAAGGTAACCTATTATCTCAAATATACCTTAAAAAGTCAACTAGATAAATAAATGTTCAAATAAATAAATACGATTATTACACGTTGTATGTTACCACTTGTAACCACTCACTTTCTAGTTTGTCACGTGTCTCGTGACTTTGCATGTAACCACTTGTAACTGCCTGCTTCCTTGGTTGTCATGTGTCCTAAGACTTTTCACCGGGATGTTGTTGTACCGTTCTATTGAAATCGACCAAGGTAATCTTCTACTGGAAAGTGAAAAATAAGAGTGTAAGTAATATGCAATTGTTTTATTTTGTTGCTTATTCATTTGCTTGTTTATTGCATTGCATGTAGAATGTTGAATCACTTTTTGTAATTTCAGGTTCGGAATTGTTTGTTTTGTAAGTTTATAGTGAGGTTTTCAAAGGAAAATACTCAAAACTTGATGTGTACATAACACTAAACTAAGAATAGTATATATAGTACAATAAATTATTATATTATTTTCTTTAATTTTATCTTCTATACTGTACGCTTGTATACTCTCACTATGAAAAGTAGAAATTAGTTTAAAAAATACTCATGTGAGAATAGTGATTTATATTCATCTAATCTTTTTGTCCAGGAATATGTGTTATTTTAACGAAGTGGGTTATCTAAAGAAGGTTTTGCCTCCAATGTTGAAATTTGTAAAATTTAGACATTATAGAACTACATCCTTTGAAGTATGATAATATTCAAAACTACAAAAAAAGATGTCAATCAAGTTACTAAAATGTTTATTGGATCTCAGAGTGGGACAAAAATCATCTCCGGTGGAACAGTTATTCTGTTCCGGTCGGTTTGAAATCTATGGCCCTCACAGCGCCATGTCGAATAAGTGGTTTGAGTAAAAATTTGTTACCGCATACTGACACGCTATTGTTCCACGTATAATACTTTTATACAAAATACAATTTTATGATATTATATTATATAAGATACTCCCGCAAATTGACCTTTCCATTTTGCATTTACCTCCCAAATTTCAGAATTTGAGGTCGTCCAAACGAGACTTGTTTTATACCCTAACTCTAAATCCTAAATTCTCAAAATTTTCAAAACCTCTGGTTTAGAGTCGATTGATTGTGGGTATGTGTTTGAATCATTTGTTGATAACTTCATAACTTTAATTTTGCTTTTGATTGGTGGGAAGAATATTTCCACGGTTCTTAAATTGGATAGCTTTACAGCTCTGGTTTTGCTATTGAATGGTGGGAAGAAGATTTCCATGGTTTTGAAATATCAAAAGCTTCATCGACCTACCACACTTTGGCTACAAAATTTTTTCCCCTCCCAATATTAGAACCGGGCAGTAGCTTAGCACCCCAAATCCTAAATCTCATTTTTTTTCAATACAGTGTTGATTGGTGTGAAGAAGAGGAAATTTCCGAGCTAACGACAGAAAATCCGACGGATTTATTCCTAGGGTTTCTCTCACACCCTAATCTATCTCTCTACTCAACAATTATCCATTTCTCTCTTTGTTTTTCATCGCTTTCTCTCTTTTTGTCCTTCCAAGCAAACTCTGATCAGTTAAACCCTTTCTCCCCAAATGCAGAAGGTTTGATATATAGCTTCATTGGCGATTCGGTGTGGAATGGCCTGCTACTGAAAGGAAGGAAAAAAGCTAAACGCTTAAGGTTTAATTTCCACCGAAAATTGGTCTTCTGCCAATCACAAAAGAATTATAGGTCAGTCATATTTTGTTTCTATAAATCACCTTACTTTTCTGTTTCTCCATAAATCACATTTGGTTGACACATGTGCTTTAAAATGTTGAGATAGAATTATGATACGATTTGGAATGGGTTTCATTGTAAAGATTAGACAGTGATTTCTAAAGTAAGTTGGTGGAAAAATAAATGACTAGTCAGACCACCAACTGGAGTTGGTCACTTTAGGCATTAACTAAGATTGATGTCCATAGTGTTGTGGGACTTGTATTATAATTATATCAGTTGTTCCCAATCTGCTATTATTTGTCTAAAATCATATATTTGATTTTTTATTTTAATTTTCATATGGTTTAGTTCTTGAACTTTTTGAAGAGAGAATAAAATAAATATTGGCAATATTGTTGAGGTCTCAAAATAATCACTATGTTGCATGTGCAAATTATATTAGATGTTAATGGCTATTCGAGTCTAATCATGCCACTACTGAGTGTAACCATCATTGATAAGGACTCTTTTTTATCTTATTAATTTCATATTCTTAAAGAGATCTTTAATCAGGGTTAACTAATTTAAACAACAATCATTTGATTGAGTCTTGTGTCTTTTATTTCCTTAGCTATAGTAATTCCCAAGTTAGGAGCACTCCATAAAAATTTCCTCAAAACTTTATTTAATTTCTCCCCTTGTCTACTGAACTCATTTAGATATATTTTGTCAATTCATTTGGGCCTACCAATTAAATTGTCCAGGTTAATGAAGTTCAACTTGAATTTCAAGTAGAATAAAAGCATAAATTTTTGATTAATTACCCGCATTAAATGCGTACTTTAAATAGTAAAGTGTTTAAGCAATTTTTGGGTAGCTTGTATTCTACCTACTACAAGAATGATAACCATTAAGAAGGGTTCTTGTTTGAATCCAATTAATTTCAAGTTTGGCTTACCTTGATTAACTACTAAAGTTTTATTTAGTTCATTTTATTTGTTTTTTGTCTCCACCAATTCTCTTGTTGCTCACTATTGTCACTCAAATGATTTTAACAAGTGATATATGACTCATCAATGAGTGAAAATGGAAATGTAATTCTTCTCAATTAATTAATATGAATTGGATGAAGTGCTTCTATAAACTTGGTAGTAGGGAGTAATGGGAGTTAAATGCAGGTGAAAATGTTAAGGAATTTATTGTATCTGATTTTTTTTTATTATTATATTCTTTTGCCTATATACTCTGCATTCTATTAGCTATATTCATTTAGGAAGATCATTAGGAAGCTTCCTATTGCATATAAGAATTTTACTTAGAAGAGAAATCTGGAAATTTCTTATTTGTCCATGAACTTGGTAATGTAATTGTAGTGGAATATGGGATTAGATAGAAGTGGCAGGTCAATGAATTTTTTGAATCTGATTTTCTTAATGATACTTTTTCCCTAAAACTGTGTGTTTTACCTAATCTATTTATCTAGAAAGTTTGATCATCCACCTAAGAATTTGATGAACTTGATAAAGAAAAGAAGTTTCTTGATCCATTTATTTAAAGTAGAGCTAGTAAAATATCTATTCTAAGTGATTAATAGGGATATTTTCAATGCTACACCAATTACATATAGAGGAACAACTGCATTCCCTAAACTCGTTTTCATTTCCATGCTAGTAAGACTAAGATTTTATGTGTACGATTTCTTAGCATAATCTGGGGTAAAACCACGTGTCATGATTCTATGGGCATGTACATTGTAAATGTATCAAGTGATTGTTTAATTGACTCGATCAACATGAATTTCCTTAAAAATCTTTTCATTTCAGTAAAATATAACATGTATATGTAATGGAAAGTCCATTCAACTGGTCCATTTTATGGCTTTCAGGGTCATAGAACAGTTGCAATGCAAGTAGTTACAAACTTTGTCTCCAAACTGGCTACATTAGTAAGCTTGTAGCTTAGATTGTCACTAACACAACTATCCCATTAATAGAAATTGCGTGAATTTGGTAGGCCGCTAATTTGGGATTTAGAGGCTGAAATCTTTTTCTTGAATATTTTTATAGCTTAATCAATATATGTAATTCAGGTTGTATTCCCTCGATATATGTAATTTAACTTAGAAGTGAATAAGGCATATTTAGTTCATATTTATGTAACAATTGGTTTGGCCCAATTGAACCCAATACATAATGTCATACAAGCATCTCACAGCTTACTTATTTTGAGAATTTCTAGGAATTAATTTTGCAATCTGATGCATCTTTGTATATTCCTCATTTTGTTGCTTACTCCATATATCCCCCTTATGGATGTCATTTGTCATTTGTAATATTGAATATAAACCTTGAAAATAATGTATGGGTCAACTTTTTAGTTTCTAATTGATTCTTGCTAATGTAGCATTACTCTTCTTTTTTTTCTTTTTCTTTTTCTTATTTATTTTTTTTTTTTTTTGTTAACTCTACTGTAAATGCAATACGGGCAATGTGTCTTCTGATCCTTTATGTACATTCTTATTTTGTGCAGGTTAATTGGAGTACGGAAGCATCATGAATTCATGTTATGGAGTTGTTATGTTATTCTTTATTAGGAATTGTAATTATTCAAAATGGATAATCTCTATGACTTTTATTAAGGATGTTTATTAATGGAAGTAATGTGTGATTCATTCTGAATCTTTTACTTTGTCGGTTGTCATTCAATTATGTTTGCAAGGTAAAATCAAACAAAAGCATAGAACAATATATGAAATGAGATAAATCTGGATTTCTTTGGTTGAAAATGAAGGGATCTTTTTTCTCTCATTTGCTAATGCAGAAATGAATGCTACAGGTAAAGCTATATAGCACACCAAGACAATGCTTGATCTTAAGATAGCAACCTGTTTACTTGTTAGAACACCTCGAATATCTTAAGACACTGCAACCGTAATGGATAACATATATATACTATCCATTTATATATAACTTAAGCCATTCATATAATATCACATCCTTCGGAACATAAATTCTAGGCACAACTTATCTTAACCCTTGGGAAAATAATAGAAAAAGAGCTAGATTACTTACAAAAATAATAAAGCAAGATGCCAATGTAATGTATATCATCAATGTTATTATAATCATATAATTGAACTGTGATGCTCAAATCCCATGATTCGGTACATCAACCAAGAGACACATAACCCGACCTGATAACCCGGTTAACATAGTTCTAAAACTAAGGTTAAAATGGTAAAAGTATGGTTATCAAGGGTAAAATGGTTATAAAGTGAAAGAAGGAGCATTGACCAGGTCCATCTAACCAGTTAGATGGTTAATCTAACCGATCAGAAAATGAGAAGTCTGTCGAGATCCATCTAACTGATTAGATGACTTTATCTAACCGGTTAGATAGTCCATATAATTGATCAGTTGAGTGGGCAGCGAAAATAACCTTCTACCAGGCCCATGTAACCAGTTAGTTGTCCCTATCTAACCGATTAGATGGACCCCTGAAGCAAAATTAGCCTAAAACAAGTGTTTCATCCCTGTCTCGACGCATCCAAACCCGAAATATGAACCATGAATGAAAAGTACATGCACAGTACATCAAAGAAACATTATCCCAACATCAAAATGAGTCCAACAATGACATGTGATGATCAAGCAATAACTAAAGCATGTATCCATAACAAGATTAAAAGGATAGCTGTAATGAAACCCTCTATACATTGATTAAGGTTCATACATATATGAGTCCATACAAATGGATACAAGAGTGAAGCAGAGAAGTTTCTGCTCGAGCTTTCTGGCTTGTGCTCTAGCCTTTTGGGTAGTGCTCGAGCAAGAATTCCATACTTAGCCATTTTTCTTCAATTATTTTCAAAAGCATCTTTTTCATCAACATTTAGAATTTTTTTGGGATATTTCTTCATGGTGCTCGATCACCTTGCTTAGGTGCAAGGTGCTCGAGCTTTGGGGTCTCTGTTTGAGCCTTTTGATTTCTGCTCGAGCTTTTTGACTTCTACCAAAGATTTAACAACATGGAACTTCCAAAGCGTCATTTCATATTCCGAGGGAGTTTCTGCATGAAAGGAATCGTGTGGTAGCAGAAAGATTTTAACACTCTACCTATATAATTTTAAAACACTTCCAGTCGGTTTTACAAAAGGTGTGTGATTTAGGAAAAAAGATTATTGTCCCCCCAGATTTAACTCGAATTCCTAACCATATAAGAAAGTCAAGAAAGTTCTACCTTTTTTTTAGGAATTGCGTAGGGGCAATTGATGGAACTCATATCCATTCAAACGTATCTGTGGACTAGCAAATACCATTTCGTGGTAGGAATGGGAATATCACACAAAATGTAATGGTTGTTTGTTCATTTGATATGATGTTCACGTACGTTGTAGCAGGATTGGAGGGGTTTGCTAATTATTTTAAGATATTGAACGAGAGCATTAATAATGAGGATATGCAATTTCCACAGCCTCCAGAAGGTAAATGTCATACTAGCTACAATTTTTTAATTAATTTTAATTAATATAATGGTACAATTGTTTATAGTTTGTAAAATGACAAGAAAATATTATTTAGTGGATTCCGGGTATGCCAATCAACCGGGTTCATTAGCTCCCTACAAGGGTCAACGGTACCACTTACAAGAGTACCGTAAGTCTTCTAGGCCACCCCGAGGTAGAGAGGAAATATACAATCACATACACTCGCCTTTGCGAAATGTCATTGAGTGTTGTTTTGTGATGCTTAAGATGAGATTCCCCATCTTGAAGCAAATGCCCCTATATAAGTTTGAAACTCAGGTTGCTATTGTTTTAACCTGCTACACACTTCACAAATTTATAAGAATAGAGGCGCAAGTAGATGCAATATTTGATGATGAAATTGTGGAGGTGTTGGTAGATGAAATATTTGAAGATGAGGATGATGATGTTTAGGTTAATGTGTTGCAGTCTCGGTCGTGACCAATGGATATTTTACAGGATCATATTGCTAATACTATATAGAATACAATTCCGCACCCTTGAAATTGCATTTAGATGTTTATCATATTTGGATAACTGTAATAACTACTTCATTTTAACTCTTTTTTAGAATTTGGATAACTGTAATAACTACTTTATTTTAACTATCTTTTACGATTTGGAAAAATGTAATAACTTGTGCCAAGTATACATTTCACATTTTACCACTTGTATATGCAATCATGTATGAGATACAGGGTGACGGGCCACCTTATGCATGTGGAAGGGTCGAATGAATCTTCATACGGCTGGAACTTTAAAGAATTATGGACGTTCATTCTATAGATGTCTAGCTTGGGAGTATACAATCCTTCGCATTAATAATTTTTTATACCTACGTGTTATTGTCACAGGGGCATTATAATAATATACAAGTGTTTGATATTTTAGTCACATGCTCGTTCATTTATATGGTTGGATGACATGTACCAACGTCTGCAAGTGAATGGTCATGTGGATCAAGAGTTGGAGGATGTAGTTGCTGTTTTGCAAGTTCAACAAAATAGACAAAACTACATTATCAATTGTGGTTGTTGTTGTCTTATTATTTATGTTATTGTTCATGTTGTTGTTGTTGGTTATTGTGGCAGTTGACAAATGATGTAATATATTAGTTCAATTATACTTTTAGATACTTTTATTATGCCTGTTGACATTTGTTGATAAGTATTGTAATATTTATGAAACTCATGTCTGTAATATCTTCAAACTCATGTAATGTGTAATATATTGAAAGTTTATTTCAGTTCGATATTGAAATAATGTCTTCTAGAATTGTCAAAACAATATCCAACATTCATAAGTTTTACAATTTATAATATATTTTATTGATTTTTATAGATTAGTCAAAAAATATTGTAAACTAAAACTTAATAAACTAAAATAAACTATAAAAATAAAAATATTAAAAGTTATTTCAATTGTATAATAAGATTATACAATAATAAAATTTTACTTTATATTTAATAGAGTTATTAATAATGTATTGATGAAAACAAATTGAAAACACTCTTTACCAAATATATTTAATGTTTTTGTTTAAATGATTTTGGCTATACTTTCACTCTGTCAAACATGTTTTATTCTCATATTTTTTGAAATGAAATATCTTTGTAAACTTTAATAATTTGTGTTAAGCCATTAATCACAAATTTACATGAATCCCATATCTTAGAACTTCATGATTTTCACATATCTATAATGCATAAATAAATGGTTAAATATAAATACCTCGATTCAGATATCAAACTTTGTTGAGATTAAATCCAACGTCTAGATCATCTAACCACGAACTAATCTGCAACTCTGATCAACAGGCAAAGGTGGAAACTGGTTTCTCTCTCTTCGCCTTTTGCACACATAAAACTTTTACGTGTTGTATCATTAATCGTACATAATTGATGGAGTATATGCACTTTTATAAAGGCAGAGAGAGGACCAGTTTTTCTTTTAGTAACATAATTCTACTTTCCATCAAAGTAAGAAATAAGTAAGGAAAACACTTCTCCAATAAGTAATTACCAAAAAGGTAATTATAAGTTGACCAAAAATAAATAATATTAATTAATATCTATTTACTTAGCCACCAAGTAATATGTCACATGTCCAAATCATGTGAGCCACAATTAAATAAATAATCTTACATTCTCCCACTTGGCACATATGATAATTTATGTAATGGTTTAGTAAAATAGTTATTAGTGTGCACCATAAATCAGATTAAGGTATTAAGTTGGTCATCATAAATACAATGGTAAACAAACTACCAATGTGAGTCATGGCGGTTGTATGTCCCTAAATAACACAGTCCCTTCCATGTACCACAACATTAGTAACCTATTTAATATAGTCTATAAATGAGAAGTATCAATAATGATCTAACAATAATGTCTTTTCCAAAACTATTCATATTACCACTTATTAAAGTAATATGTACATGTACATTAACTAATAGGAAATATCATAAACACATTTAATGAGCGTAAAATGTCAAATATATATATACACTGTTAAGCAATCCACAATTAAAAAATAATCATCATTGACTACATTCAAGACCCATTCTTTTAACATGTTCCATAAATGTCTTGGGTGGTAATCCATTCGTTAATGGATTGCAATCATAAGTTGTGTGCTTATATATTCAATAGACATTCGTTATTTCTAAACATCTTCTTTAATGATAAAGTATTTCAACTTTAGAATACCTATCATTTTTCATACAAGAAGATCAACAATTGCAGCATAAATTTTTAGCAATCTGAAAATAGTACCCATAACTCCAAATCCTGAAATAAATTCTGCAATCATAAATTGTAGCCTCAAAGCATGCTACTAATTAAAAATTCATAATAGACAAAGTAATAAAAAAAATACTTTATACTTTTTCAAATATTATTCTTCCAGTAAAAAAACACAAATAACCAATTAAAAAATGTCTTTCTAAGTGTGAGCATATAATTTTTTATCACATACCAATTTGTATATACATCAAACTCCACAATATATGCATAAAGAATATTTTTCGCTTCTTTACCTTCTAGCTAACTCATTCTTAGGGATTGCATTAGGTTGAATTTATCCCCTTTTATATGTGGAGCAATACTGGTTGAATAATGTTCTATACCAAATCTTTCTACAACTCTTTCAATT